TTTTCTGTAAAGATTTTATGGTTGGTTTGCAAATGTGTATCAGACTGTGCAATCTCTCCATGAGTTGGTTTTGAAACCCAGTATGGGATTCTGAGATACATTACCAAGGATATTATTACAAGATAAATCATTTGCTTCATTGAACACATACAACAATGCACATTTCCACTGAGATCAGTGACCTTTGATGTGTATCACCAGTGATCAGTCAAGTAGAAACAGTCAAAATATTTTATCAGATTTTCTCAATTTTTGCATGATATTTTCATACAGGACATTTGTTGTTCAAACTCAGGGAAGATTTTATACTGATGAATAAGGTGACCAAGTTTGATAAAGTTTGGAATAGAATTAGTAAAGTTATTATGCACACAATAACAATTATTAACAACGACGACAACGCCGGACAAAATTTTTCCCTTATAAATATACCTTTCCCTTCCATCTTTGATGGTACGAGCAAGGTAAAAACAAGATGGCTGCCAGTCGGCCATTTTGAATTGAATCGCTAAACCAATGCATGTGCATATGTCCCACATAAAGCACGAGGCACATGCAAAGAATGAACGGAATCGGCCCAAGGGATTCTGAGATACGACTCTGGATGGAGACCGAATCATAAGTCCCCGTTTTCGGACATCGTCTATATGTAGCAATACCAGCCCAATAGTTATTAATTTAACATTTTCAATTCACTAAAATTATCTTTATTCACAATAAAACTGATTGTAATAATTAATACAATATTTGAGATTTGTCCAGTTACACATACAAAAATACAAAAAATTACTACTTTTTTTTTTTTAGAATTTATCAAAATATTTACGTTGATTAAAAATCTCTTGGTATCTAGTAGTTTCATTTCTTGATGTGTTATAAAAAATCTGTTTTGGCAGTGTGTGAAGTATATAATCCCTGAAGATTGAATAGCAACTTGCATAAATGTGGGCATATGGTATATACCCATAACACTAATAATGAGTACATGTATATTGGAAGGTAATTACAGTGAGTATCACATGTTGCACATGAATCTGGACGAAAGAAATCACAATATAAAATAATACATAAACACAGTAATTGAATGAAATTTCTTATAATCAAAATACTACAATATTATGACAGTGAAACCAATAGAACATGAATTGCTTTACACTCTGTAGGTTTAAAACAAATACTCAAAATATTTAGGAAAGCCTGTTTTTGGCAGTGTACTCTTACACAATCACAGCATTCTCTAAATATCTACTACCCGGTAGGTTTGTCATTGGTGACATGCTTGAAGAATCCAGGCCAGTGTATAGCTTATTGCATGGCTCTAAATATATCTGGTGTTAGGGTAAATATTCAAATAGTAGACATTTTATCAGCTGGCCACCTGTCGATAATTGTACTACTCCAATACAGTGTGTTGTGCTTTTCACAACATAAACTGGTTGCATCAAAAATCTTAAAATTTCCGCAAACTGAATCATGCAACTATTAATTATAAAAATAACAAAATAATTGACAAATGCCAAAAAAATAAAAAGTACATTGAACAAAGGAAGAAAAAAGAAGAGTAAAGGAAAGGTTACAATGATATTAGAAATTTTTTTTATAGATGTCTGAGATCATTTTCAATACCATATATTTTAGCTTTTAATTGATGTAATTCTCCCTGTATCATTTTAGATCTTCTTGCTGTGCGTTTGATATCCTGTAACATGGCTACGTCATCACCTTCGCTGATACCAACAGTCACCTGAAATACAAGATAAACTATATATCAGTTCCTATCCTATTACATGCCTTCACTTTCATGTGCTACATAGTTTAGAATAGAAACTTTTGTGATTCAGTGATGCTTGAATTATCACTTGCTACACATAGAACATTTGTTTAAAATGGTGGTATTCAGCAAACTTAAATTGGATTTTGTTATTTATTTCTGTCAGTGAAGAGTAAATGTATATCGACTGAGAAGCATGTAATACAAATTTTATAGATCTGACAATCCAGTCTATTGTTTTTGGAGGGGCTCATATATAAAAATGTGCTATTCAAATAAAATCTTGACATTTAAGTCTATGGCTTACCCGATATAGCTGTCTTTCCACTTCCTTCAGTCTCACACGAAGGTTCTTTATGTCTGTTTTGAAACCTTCTACCTCTAAATTCCGCCTAGTTTCCAAAGCTTCATAACGCTGATTCATCAAGGCAAGTCTCTTCCCCATTTTCTCTGATCTTTCCTGAGATAAATTGTTCATGTAGTGAGTGACATATGCTATTAAATCAATATTTGTAGCATCTACACATTAGGTAAGCATCTGTACAACTGTACAAGTTGTGTAAATTCACTGGCATCTATTGAACAAGATGACTAGTAAATAAAATCAACTTGTCACCATTTACATAACTTTTTTCAACAATTATCACTAGTATTAAGACAAAATAGTAATGATAACTTATGTTTAATTGGTCCAACATTAATCAAGACATAAAAACTATATATCGAAATATGAAAAATGTTGCACTAACGATTAATTGTATGGTGTTATATTATTCAACTCACTTTGAATATTTCTTTGCTGACATCGTCTTGCTCTTTTATTCTGGATAATTCATCTTCTAATTTGATAACTTGTTCTCTGTACATCTCTGTCATCTTATGAGACTGCTGTAGCTGGTTTTCAAGAACCTACAAGAAATGATCAATTGTTAATATCTCTTACTCACTAAAATAAATGATAACATATTTATGATAACATCCTGGAAATGATAACATGCTGGAAACAGGAAAATCATGCCCTTTTAATGATGACGTAGCTGTTCATAATGAGAAATACAAGTACAGAGATTCTTTGATAAGCACATATTCTAAACTTTTTGCTGCATTTCAATTTTCTGTGGCACCTTATACACATTAACGATCAACTCTTGCAGCTTTTCTAGCCAAGTCTTACATAATCACTTACATTAATTTCATCTGCTTGGGCTTGTCTCTGTTCCCATACATTCTCTGTAATATGGAGTACGTCATCTGTAGAAATATTCAATTGTTCTTTAGCTTTATCCAGTTCTTGCAGCAATCTATCCTTTTCTGCCATCCATCGTCTTTCATTGGCTCTATTTTCATATTTCAATTCAAGGTAGTCTTTAGTGCTGTCATATAGTAAGTCTTGTGTCTTATGAAGTCTGCAATAGAGTATGTATTGTGATAAGGGAGACAACCAGTACAAGCTTTTTTAACTTTTCTTTTTTGTAATTTTATGAAATTCTTTTTACAATTCTGATTTATTTTGTTAAGTTGACTTTAACGTAATAATCCTGCACTGGTGGTGTTTCATTGTTTCAAATTAATTGAAATGCTGATATAGGTAATGTTTTAACCTCAACTTATTTCTCACTGCAAGAACTAGCTGCTGATAAATTAATGCTTGAGATGTGTATGCACTGGCAGTGAAATAACAATAGTATGATAACAACAGTAACACAAATTTATTTGAAGAAGTTGATTTCATAGAATATTACCAGGTTTTAAATCAGTCAACATAATTACTCTGTTATTTAATTGCAAAATTCCAAACCAAAATGTTGCAATACTGTCTGTATCTACTGTAAATTCTGTATTAGAAACAGTGGCTTCTATTAAAGTGGTACAATGCAAAAAAGGGATGCAGCTTCTATTAGAGCATCTACACATATGAGAAGTGATGAATTGTTGGTTCTCAACTATTCTAAAAAAAGTTTGGATGCGACTCCTAGGGTAGATTAGGAATACAGCTTCTAATACAGATTTTATGGTAATAATAATATTACAGACTACTACTGTATTTGGGTGGTACAGACTCGCATCAACTAATGTGTATGGTCACTATAACACTGTAAATTGGTATTGTCGATTATCATACATTTGGCTGCAAAATGCTGTACAGACGTGTTTTGAAAGTGTTACGGACACGTTTGTAAGTCTTCCTTATTTTGCAAATGTGTGTATGTTTACAATTACATCGAATGCTGCAACAATGTGAAACATGAAATCACATCACTGAAGGCAAACAATCATGCAGACATATACATTTTGTGCTGGCATTTTGAGCTGGTAAATCCCACTAAATTATGACTACAAGCATGAAAAGATTTTTACGATAAGGTCAGTTGATATGATTACTGTACTGCATTGTTGCATACTTTGCGATATTCTATTAATAATCTCATACAGAGATCTCGCCACGCTGGTCAGCCTCGACCAGCACTCAAAATTAGCGACCACCATGAAAATGCTTCCGACCAGGACTATTGTCTGATTGTTATTATAGTTATGTACCGACCGACATGCATCCTGCCAGTCATGGATTATGATTTGTAAACAATAGACCTGTCGCACGATACATAGCGGTTAGTCAATTTTGTTAAATTAGCACTTCTTTGTAAGTAAATACTTTCTGCGATAGACAGTCTTTATATTTAAAGCTAAATTTTTTTTAAAAATCAATTCCACCTCGATATAACATGGTCAAAGCAGAGTTCATGGTCAGTTTACGCTACTCAAGAAAAAAAAACGTGTTTATTGCATGATTTTGTAAAATACATTTGAAGACCTATTTTACCTTTTAAAAATTGCTAATCACCTCTTTTGAAAACCATCATGCAGTTTTCAACTGAAATCGATACCAACACATCGTGCTACGACATCGCTTTACTTCCACAATGTAATTTTTATGATCACTACTATTCGGAAAACTTCAGATTCTATCGGCATTACCATGTGGCATTCTGAATGGTTAATAACACATTACTGTGAATATATACATTTTAGAATTTGAAGGTACGAATAATAAATTACAACAATATGCAATAATTACGTGGTCGATCTTTTGTAGGAAAATGTTTTTTGAGTAAATAAGACCGTAGACATATTCCTGGCAGAAACGTTTCAAATGGTTTTATTCAACTTTTTACAATACACATTAATATTGCAACAATAATTTATTTGTTTCTGTTTTTAGTCTGCAGCATTTGCATTTCGAATATATTTCATTTTTTAAATTCAAACTCAAACATAATGTCTTAATTCCAAAAATATTTGCACTACGACCAAACTCATTAATATTCATTGCTAATTAATATTCATATAGCTCATTAATTTCATGACCGATCGGCACTCCAGTTAGGCTGGCGAGCTCCCTGCTCATAGTATTTAATAACTTATCTTAATACATCTTTTCTTGCTTATTGTTATAATTTAGTAAGACAATAGCTTGAACATTGTTGATGCATCCAACGTAAATGAGGGAAAGTGATGTACAATATTTTTCAAATAAGAAAGACACTCAAATATTCACATAATAATTTCAATGAACAGATGAATCACATACTTGTCTTTCAGGGTCTGTATCTTGTCTTGATCTCGGTCCATAACTGTCTGCATTTCATCAATTCGAACTCTTCTATCTTCTAAGAGTCCATCTACTTGTTCTTTAGATAATTTAGTTTGTTCTTCTAATTGTGCTTGTAATGCCTCTACTTGTAACATCAGTGTTTCATTATCTCTTGTGAATTGTGCTGCAGATTCTGGTGATGATGCCTTACCTGTAAACCCAAACATAATCAGACAACTTAAAACTGCTATCCTCAAAGAGTCATTTTCTTTCAAAGATCCGTGTGAATAATCACAAGTAAAATGCATGTGCCTTGTAAGTGGCATTCACACTGGCTCCCACCAAGATTTCACCCAAAAGGAGTCAAATATGTACATAATGGTTTACAGGGATAAAACAAAACTCCATTTGGTAAACCGGTAGATATAATGCAGATCAGAGTATTGCAGCTGTGTCTCCAGTTGAGTTCACCAAAGTTTGGGAAAACATTGGGTTATGTTGGTAGGTTCAAATATATGTATATCAGAGTGATCAATAAACTTGTTTTTATGCGTAAATGGGGATTTAAATTGGGTAAATTGTACTTATATTATAAATAATATATTGTAATAGCATATGAAGATAAAAGAAGGAGATGTCTTCAGAATTCAGTGCAGCTTGACATTTCTTGCTAAAATAAAAAATGTTGTGGTTTCAGGGAAATTTATCTTGTTATAACAAAAAGACCATCATAATGTGTGCTGTAATTAGCCATCAACACAGTGCTTTGAATAGGCAAAAGTGGCAAGGAATGAATCATAGCATATTTACATAGCATAGCATAGTTACAAGGCCAAAATGTGCATTGAGGAGGCAGTTTAATTAGTCAGAAAAATATTCTGGTGTTAACATTTTGAAGAGTAAAATCTATTAAATATTCTACACTATTGAAACAAAACCAAAAAACTGAACACTGGTCATGATTATCTGCCAATCCAGTATTTTAACATTAAATCTGTAAGTCATAGATGTGTGTTCCATTGAGGAGTGTTATTGAACAAGATGGCACTACATGATGTAAGCCAATCACATACTAAACTTATTTATATTATCCTGGGATCTGCGTACTGACCTTTAGCTCTTCTGGCAGCCTTTTCTATGTTAGAATCTTTTTTTGATCCATGTGTCTTTAACCCATATGCATGACTTTCTTCTGCTTAATAAAAAATAGGATTATACATGTAGCATCATTATTAAAAAGCGGTCATCACGTGTTGCAATTTTCTTTAAGCAAACAATGTTGTATAGTCACATCGGACACATATTGAATAAGATTCATTGTAACGACCATACCCCTTTAACAAATGCCAAGTTATTAATGTTTGAGTTTCAGTATCACATTTTCAGGTTGGGTATTTCATGATCAATTTCAGGGTTTAAGTAACTGAAAATTGTGCCTAGAATTTAGTATCAGTAAACCATCATTCATATTCTATATAAACAAGAGTTTACAGTGAAGCTTACCAGGTGAATGTGGATATTTCTTAGCTGGATGCCTCTGTGCAACGATAGCTTTGGATGGTGGTTCTTTATGAAAGTATGTCACTTCATTATTCTGTGGCTCCTGTCAAAGCCAATAGATGGTGGATTTTTTTTCTGTCTTCTAACTCCATGATTTTCAGTCTATCATTTTCAGAATAAAGTCTAAGAACATGTTCTCTTTCTTGGAACAGGTAGACTTGCATATCACTGAGTGCTTTTTGTAACTCTGCTATTTCCTCTTCTCTCTGTCTCAATTCCCAGTGTGATTTATGCTACAAACATACAATATAAGTAGATAGTAAGACTGTTAATCCAAACCTAAATTGAGGTACAATTCAGAGATTCAAATATAAAGTATGGTAAAATCTGTATTAAAAGTCCCACTTATTAACAAATCGAGAACTAAAAGATGACCATTACTTGAACAAGTAAATTTAGACACGTGGGCACCATCCAGCATATTGATTGGTTAATTAGCGACTTGACCTATCCGGTCAATAATACGTCACATGAGCATTCAAAACCATGGCAGATATCGTATCGGCTGTTTACATGTGACTGAAATCATTCGCTTACGGGGAAACTAAGTTGAATTTTACTTGCATTTTATAACAATTCAACGGATTTATTTTTTGTGCGTTATTGTAATCACTACTAAATAATATCAACACTTCGAAAACAAGTAAGTTATTCACTTGTGACCCGCAGCATGGCCGGATCAAGCTACCGTTCTGTGATCATTTGCTACTAAGCAGTGCATTCATGTTTTTATTTGAAACTTCTGTTAGAATATACTTTTCGTTACCAAGAAAATTAAAAAAATAAATGCATATTATATTAAAAATACTGAATATTTTTTGTATCATGTGGAATTTTTTTTTGATTGACTGTAATTTTTTAACATTTCGTAACGCCTATTTTAGAACCAAAATAAGGCCTTTCACTCTTCCCCGACGCCTATTCAAGAAATTGTACGGTGTATTGTTTGTTTTGTGCATGTGTTGTGGACAAAAAATGACCATGCCCATTTAGTGATTGCAATATGTACGTAATAGAAACCGCACCCCGAACTTGAGCTTTTGATCCCAATTTTTAAATTGATACATTGTACATGTAATATAAACCGCGGTTTATAATAGGACTTTAACGGTAGAGATTCTCCCTCTGTTGCATTGTACCATTTTCATAGAAGTTTCAAATTCTAATAGAGATTTTAAAGTTATAGACATGAATGAATTAAGCTGCTAAATAGCATATTTGCTCTATTACCAATAGTAGCACATATACCGGTACTTGTGTATGTTACAGGTGTTTCTATTGGTAAAATAAGTAATATTTTAGTTTAGTCTACAACAAATGCAATTTTTCGTTTATATGTGCTTCTAATATAGCAAATACAGTAGTCAGTTGGGTTCACTATAAACATTTTTGTGTGAATACTTTTGTATACTTTTCTATAGTGCAATATTAAAAACAATATTGCAATATTGTCATACAAAACCAAAAACAAAAGCGGATGATAGAATGTGTGATAGATGTGGTACTAATAAAGTTGAGGATGAATTTCACCTCTTGATTCATTGTCCCCAACACAAAGAAGCAAGAATGAGACTATTTCAATCAGCACAAACCTCAAATCATCAGTTCAATATGTTAGATAATGAAGCAAAGTTTATATATATTATGGGCAACATACATATAGAACTGGCTATTTATATTAACGAAAGTGCCATTTTCTAAACCATTTTCATCTCTTCTTTTTTTGTTTTGTTTTTGTTTTGTTTCTTAGAATAGTGTTTGACTATGTTCTATTCAAAATGAATAATGTCAATAAAGTTATTAAATGGGTTGATAATAGAATAACCTGCATACTTTCATAGAGTACAGGTACAGCCACTGTGTCAAAATATCATTACTGGCTTCAAGGAAGGACAATCTATTTGGAAGAACAACACCATTTTCTACAAGCACTAGAAAACATAATGTAACATGTACTGTATACATGTGTTCGGGCAGAGTAGCTACAAACCTGTTGTTCATATGTCATCTTATATTGTTCAAGTTTATTCAACATCTCTTCATGTTCTCCATCAAAATCAGCGATCTTCTTGCGATAATACTCCAACAACTCTCTTGACGGTCTGAGATGACCAAGTCTTTCATTGACGGATGGAATCTGAAGGTCATCTTTCTCATCATCAGAATCAAAGGTTATATGTCTAGGAGGTGTTCTTCTCGCTGGTGAGCCTCCGATAAATGGTGGAGAATAACGAGAAGATCGGTTTTGACTGTGTCTGAAAGATCTGTAATGGATAAATATAAACTTCTGTAGAATAATTGCACATCATGAGATTTTTATTTGCATGCAGCAGAATTTTGTGTGTATTATTAGCCCTCAAAGTTTTAATTTTTTTTCTAAGTGGCACATTGGCAACCAAGTTCAAATTGTTGGCAGGTAACTTTTTAGCCAAGTACATAAGTATTGGTTGCCAGAGTTTATTAGTTGAAATTCAGATCTGATGACATTGATTCACTGACAGGATGAGATCGTTTTTTCAATCATATCCTTCTCCTGCACACTGTGTTTGTTTATCAATGGACTTGCAAAATATGTAACTACTGGATGTTATATGTACATCAATTCATACCAATAATTAAATATGGTTTATAACGAAAAGTTTATGTGAAAATTTAGTGGGTAGAAGTGTGCTGAGAAGGTTTAAAATCAGTTTTATTTTGCTTTGCCGGCAGTCCAAATTTGTTTCAGCCCCAAACGGCAACCTAAATATCAATTTCAATCCCCCCAGATTAAATTTAATCATCTTGGCAATCAAAATGATCGCAATCTAGCGACCTGGTATTATACTATTAATTACTGCATGCAACTACACTAGCACAACTTTTGAGAACAGTTTAAGAGTAAAACATGGCAGACACACATTTATTTTATGTGAGACTTGTGTGCGACAGGATTAAACTATTGTCATTAACATGTTTTTTACAACACTTATTATTATGGTAACCTACATTGGGTTGCAAAGTGGAAATAAAGCTATTGCGAGGGGAATGAACTAAAATACTATGAAACTAACTACTCAGGATGATTGTATTGGACAAACCATAGACCCTCTATTAGAGGGTCTATGGACAAACCTAGCATAAAACCTTCAGGACTAGGTAAATGTATTGTAATATCAATCTACTGAAGACAGAGCAACAGAAATAAATGTTTAAAGATTTGTCGCTAGATTTATAGATACTTTAGTATTTACAAATTAATAAAGACATCAATGTATATCAAAATTGCCTGGGATAAGAACGCTCCAAAACAAACGACACCGAGACATTTCCTGAACGACTGGAAGTTCATTCAATCACGAATTGAGCTATTAGTATGAACATTAATATATAGCATTAACATGGCGTCTTGTTTTCATTATTAAACTGTAGCGCGAATTAGAAAATATATATTTTTTTCAGCCTTCAACAACTAAAGAGACGACCGTCAACTGCTCCAAAAAACAAGTCGAAGCAGATCCTGGTATCCTCATTCTATCGAAAACATGATATTCAAAACGGTGATAAACGAAAGCCACATTCATAAACTGTATTCATAATATAACCAATATACTAATACAATCATCTCAGATTTGTGCAACGATGTTTCCGTATTCAAACCTCGTCATAAATATGGTATTATTATAAACTGTGCCCTACCTGCCCGGAGACGGTGTTCTTGACGCCATTTTGAGTTTGCCGCTTGGTCTACTACGTAAGAAGACTTATGATTGGTCCGTGTACAAACACGCCCTCAACATTCTAAGGGTAGAGCATCAGACATTATGGGGGGGGGTCTAAATCCCGGTACAACACGTTACATCATGTTTACATCAACAAACAATAGGTTAAATGTTAATACTAAGAAGATATATAAAAAGGAACACAGAAACAGTATTCCATGGCACTGTTTAGCTGAGTTGTCAATGGCTGCACAAATAAGTATATTGTAGTTTTTACCATTGTTCAAAATCTATACAGAAGCTTTTCAGTAAAATATGTTCTGTCCAATCTGATTAAAGTCCGATGTAGGTATAAAAATTAACAATAACAAATTATAAAAATAAAAAAATATGAAGCCTATACCTACAATGGATTTTAATCAAATTGCTTCTGTCCCATCCATTGGCTTAACCACCGTCTCACCACAGGGTTAAGCCACCATTGAGTGATATTTTACAGTAAAGAACTGAAAATATTGTTAGAAAATAAGCAAATCTGAGAGACTTCAATTTGAGGTACATTATCAAAGCAATCAGACTTGAGGTTTTCAGCAAGATGTCGAAAATATAACTTTTTACCAAAAATATTCATAAATATTAGAGAATTGAAGATATCATAAAATGAACAAATCTAAGAGAGGTCTGCCCAAGGTACATACATGTATATACCAAGTATCAAAGCAGAGAATTGTAGTTTTCATGAAGTCGAATAAGTAAAAGGTTGACACGGACGATGATGGACTATAAACAACGGACAATCACATGTATAAGCTCCGCTTAACAAAGTCGACAGCAGAGCTAAAAATAAGATCAAATGCGATTGTATTCAAAAATGTCACTTTGAGTTCATAAATGTTCATAATCAAATCATATTTCAAAACTAAATATCCTATACCGATGACCAATTAAATCACACAACTGTCACAGTGATAGAGGGACTACGGTACCTACCTACCTCTCTTCTGTGGGGAAGGATGGAAGCATTTTTCTACAGAATATGTTGTAGATTTTTATGCAGTATTCAATGATGTACCCAGTTAAATTTTCCACTATTCAAGATACATGCAGACATGTTTTTTTTTTTTAACACAAATCAATATATATGAAATATAACTGTCATTCATTGCCTTTAATCGTGACATCTCACCACATGCTTTTCTCATTGTGACATTGTATCTTAAAATCAATTTTAATGTTAACCAATTTAAATCCGTTTTACTTTGTGTGTTTTTTTTAATTATATAGTCCTGTTATATTACTTCTATATGTACTTGTTTATTGGCATTGTATCAGGCATTTGATTTGTTTTTCTCAGACTACGGTTTCCCAAATGACTACAGTTTAATAGGCGCCTTAAACCATTTGTCTATCAAAATATGACTACCGATAATAGTTGCAATGAATAAATGCGTATAGGGGTATGATTTGCTTTGGTGTACTTTATTTTAGGAATCATTTTGATGGTTGACAACTTCCAAGAAGTTTCCATGCGTTTAGCTCAGTTACGCAAACTATTTGATTAAAACAAATTGTAGAGAG